ACTTATCTATGCCAAGAAATTTGAAAGACAGCTACCTGGTCAACTGACTGGAAGAGATCCATATTTGTGCCCATTCTACAGAAAGGTGACCCAATGGAATGCAGAACTTATTGGACAATATCATTGATATCCCATGTGAGTAAGTTTTACTAAAGATAATACAGAATTGGCTGCAACTATACATTGACAGAGAACTTCCAGAGGTTCAAGCCAGTTTCAGAAAAGGATGTGGAATCATTGCTGATGTCAGATGGATCTTGGCTGAGAGCAGAGAATACCAGAAAGATGTTTGTGCAAACAGTAATTATTACTCAAAGGCTTTCAATTGTGTGGATCATACAAACTATGGCCAACATTGCAAAGTATGAGTATTCTGGAACACTTAATTTTGCTCATTAGGAACCTGTACATAGACCAAGAGGCAGTTGTGCAAACAGAACAAAGGAACACTGGTTTAAAATTAGGAAAGGTGTGTGCCAAGGACGTATTCTTTCACCATACTTATTCAATCTGTATGCTGAACAAATAATCAGACAAACTGGATTATATGAAAAAGAATGTGGCATCAGGATTGGAGGAAGGCTCATTAACAACTTGCAAAATGCAGAGGATACAACCTTACTTCGTGAAAGCCAAAAGGACTTAAAATGTTATTGATTAATATCAGTGACCACAGCCATTGGTATGGGTTGCACCTCAATGTAAAGAAAACAAAAATCCTCACCACTGGACCAATAAATAATATCAAGATAAATGGAAAAAAGATTGAAGTTGTCAAAAGACTTCATTTTGCTTGGATCAACCATCAACTCATGGAAGCAGCAGTCAAGAAATCAAATGACATCTAGCATTGGGCAAATCTGCTGCACAAGACCTCTTTAAAATGTTGAAGAGCAAAGATGTCAGTTTGAGGACTAAGGTGCACTTGACCCAAGCCATGGTATTTTCAGTAACCTTGTATTTATGTGAAAGTTGGGCAGTGAATAAGAAGACCATAGAATTGTTGATGCATTTGAGTTATGGCATTGGAGAATATTGAAAGTACCATGGACTGCCAAAAGAACAAGTAGATCTGTTTTGGAAGAAGTGCAGCCAGAGTGCTCCTTGGAAGCCAGGATAGCCAGACTTTATCTTTCATACTTTGGAAATATTGTACAGAGGGACCAATCACTGGAAAAGGATATTATTATATTTGGCAAAGTGGAGGGTCAGCAAAAAAGAGGAATACTCCCAACAACATGAATTGGCAGAATGGCAGCATAAATGGGCTCAAATGTAGCAACGACTGTGAGGTTGCCCCAGGATCGGGCAATATTTCATTTTGTTGTGCATAGGGACACTATGAGTCAGTACTGACTCAATGGCACCTAACAACAACAAAGAGGGTTGGTGCCAACCTATTCAGGGGTCTGTCTTGCCCTTGCCAGGGACTGGGAAATGCCTCTTTTATTGATAACTTGCCAGACTCAGGTGATTGACAGAAGGGATTACCAGCCAACTCCACAGAGTCTCAGTTGAGGCAATAATGGGTTCTGAGAACTATGGTCAATAGTTAAAACTCTTAACAGAACATTGTGGCCATGATTAACATGCCCAAACCAACTCAGTGGTTCTCGTACCTGTACAATGGGGATATTACCTATCTTCACCTTGCAGTTGTGGGAATGAAATATTCAGAGAACACCTGCTCTGTATCAGCCTAATGCTTGGCAACAGAGGTTTGGATGTGGTCTTAAAAGTCCAGCTCAAACAGATTAGTTTGAAAAGTCCAGGAGAGAATTGCCTTTAGATCCTGTTGGGTCCAGGAGCATAATCCACATTGCTAGGAATTAGTCTATCTGTCTGTCTTTTGCACACACAACTTTTACCTTCCTCTGTTTGATTTCACTCTCTGTTAGATTCTTTTCACAGAGTAGTTCCCACAAACCATTCAAGGAAAGATTATTTATCATTCCCAGTAGTTCCAGCAAAACCTCCAAGATTGTGTCTCATTGCCTTGTCATAAGTGTCAAGACCATTCCTAAACCAGTCATTGTGGCCATGGAAAAGGAATGCTCTGATTGGTCATATGCCTGCTCTTTGAGGTGGGTTGTGGGAGAAGGTAGAGTCTAAGTGCCAAAGAATAAAGCCACCACACCTTAAAAAAACAAAACAACAACAACAACAAAAAAAAACAGGCCAGAAGTTGAGCTAACACACCAGCCAAGAAACTCATGTATTTCACTAAGGATAGAAAAACCAGGGGTTGTTAAGTATGTAAAAAGGAAGGGATTCATAATGGTTATGCTGACATAGGAATCCTGGTCTGGCTATGGGTTAATGTACTGGACGGCAAGGTCAGCAGTTCAAGCTCACCAGCCACTCTTTGGAAACCCTATACAAGATCGCTGTGAGTAGGAACCAGCTTGAAGGCACTTGACAATAACAATGCAATATAGGATGGAAAATGAGTCTTGATAGGATGGCATGAGTCAATTGATTTGTACAAGATTGGTTTACAGGTTGGTAAACACTGCTCATCTATGTCCAGTAAGGGTCTATCCCTACTGGGGTCATTCAAAGTTTATAGTTTTGTAATGACTTTAGCTAGCTGTCATTAAATACAGTTTTAATAGCTCTTAAAGGTCATTATAGTGATTAGAGAAGGCATGAAAGTTGTGACCAGCTGATCTGTCTGATTTAAACACATGTCACAGACAAGTTCATGTGCTGCTCATACATGTGGCTGGTCATTTTTCCCCTCCAGGCTCAGCATGCAGGGGGCGTCATAACTGAAGAGGACTTCAGTAACTACAGCGTTCTTGTGGAGAAGCCTGTGTGTGGCATGTACAAAGGTGACCTCTCCCCCAGACCCAGGCCCTCTACTTAGAAGTCCCCCAGTTCATGGTCATATCCTTTTGGGCCAGAGAGTCTTCCCCACTTCACAGGGCAAAAACTGAGACAGTGAGCTGCCTGGGGCAACCAACTGTTGAAACTAACCAGAGTTAGCCTATGGGATCAGTTGTCCTAAGTGTTCAGGGTGTGGAAGGTCAAGTCACAGGCTAAGGCAAGGGGGTTGGGTTTCTAGCCAGAGGTTGTATTGTGTTGTCCAGTCTCCCCACTCCAGCTCTATTCTAACACTAAGAATAATTTATAAGAAACATAGTTCATCTAAACTTCAAGGTAGAATGAACTTTTCAAGATCGTCGTACACTAGGTCCATCATTGTACTGAAAGGAAATGAAGGCTTAGTGGGGGAATGGAACTTAATCTCCAAATTCAACAAAGCCAAGAAGGATACCAGAAGAGTCAAGCTTATGAAATCCATGTTTACTGAACCCAAGGTATTAGGTACCTGGGGCTCTCAGAGGAAAACAGACTGGGTTACCTTCTTTCCTGGGACCTGTATTCTTGAGCGTGCCCAGCTCCTTTTCCCTCTAGAAAGACCAGACCATCTCAAGCCTTAGGAAAGGCTGCCTCTGAGTTCCAACCTTTAATCTCCAGACTGATTCTCTTTGTAGAGGTAGTGTATGGAGCTGAGGAAAGAACACAGCTTTGAAATCAGGCCAACCCGGATTTAAGTCCCAATTTTGTCACTCACCTTAAGTAACTTACCACTCTGATCCATGGTTCCCTCCTTAAAATGGAGATAATAATAGTGCCTATGCTTCAAGTTGTTCATGAATATTTGATGAGATGATGGAGTTGGCACTGAATGTGTGTTCTATTTTTTTTCCATTTCCTCACCTTGGCCTGAGTTCTCTTGGCATTGCCAATTTACCTTGGGTACTTTGGGTTCCCTTTTGTCTCTGGCCACTTAATTATATAACCTTGAGCCAGTTATCTCTATGTACCTCAGTTTTCTCACCTGTGAAGTGGGGTTGATAACAGAATCCATTGTGAGGATTAAATGGATGGGACCACTGAGTTATTGTGAGGTGGTTCTCATAGTGACCTAATGCACACTAGAACGAACTGCCCAGTCCTGTGCCAATCTCACAGTCGTTGTTACGCTTAAGCCCATTGCCACTGTGCCAATCCATCTAGTTGGGGGTCTCCCTCTTTTTCACTGACTCTTCACTTTACCTAGCATGATGTCCTCCAGGGCCAGGTCCCTTCTGATAATATGTCCAAAGTGTGAGAGACAAAGTCTGGTCATCTTGGCTTCTAAAGCATTGTGGTTGTACTTCTCCTGGATTATATCCAGGAGGAGCTACCCAGAGGCACATGGTAGACCTAGAATTTGGACATTTAGATGCCTGTCCAGTGACCTGTGCTATTTATCACCTTAGGCAAGTCATAGTCCCTCTTGAGCTGTAGTTTCCTTCTATGGCAGAGGAAACTAAAGAACAGTATTCTAGATTTGAATCCTGACCTTGCACTTGACTTACCATGTGATCTTGAATGGATCCCATTTCCTCTCAAGGCTTTCGTTTCCCTATCTAATGAGGCGGTTCAGAGCAGTGGTCTGTCTGTGATGGTGGGATGTGAACAGGGTTTGTTCCTTTGCCTTGACCCCTCCTCTGCTGTCTGGTTATTTTCTGTCCTCTCAGGCCACCTGGTTCTCAGTCCTCCACCCCCACACACAGGCCCTGCCCTCATCAGTGCTCTCAATATTCTGGAGGGCTTCAATCTCACCAGTCTGGTATCCCGGGAACAGGCTCTTCACTGGGTGGCAGAGGTAAGGCCAACCCCTCTACCCTACCCTGGGTCTGAGGACACTGGGAATTGGGAGGGGGATGGAGAACTGCTAAGTCACTTCCAAGTTTTCTCACACACAAGAATCCACTAGATGTGGGTGCTGGGAGGGGCCTGGCAGCCTCTCCTACACCCCTGATCTGTTTTCAGACCCTGAAGATTGCATTAGCCCTGGCCAGCAGACTGGGAGATCCCGTCTACGATTCTACCATCACCGAGAGCATGGATGACATGCTCAGGTGGGTCCCTAGGCAGGACCCAGGGTGCTGCAGAGGTGGTGGTGGGGATTGGGAAAGGATCAGGTCAAAAGCAGCTGATGTCACAATAAGGCCTGAAATCCCAGTCAATTGCAACTGAATCCCGCTTGCAGTTTGCCTCTTTGTAGCACCTTGTTTTCCTACAACAAGTTAGTCTCTTCTGATACGGTTCTCACATTTTTTTTTTTTTTTTTAAACCATAGCAGAGTACCTATGTGGGCTCATCTGCACCCCTTTTTAAGTGGAAAAAGAAAGCCAAATGCTGGAGGTGAGGGGACTTGATTATGATGTATCTACTTTAGTAGCATAGCATAGGAGTCAAGACTGAGTTCCAGTTCAGACTGTAACAAGTGAAATTCTAGTTTCATTGCTCACTAGCTGTGCCACTTGGGCAAGTCATTTGACTTTTCTAAGTGTCAGTTTCTACAAAGGGTCCTGATAATGATGGTACCAAGCTCATGAGGTTGCTGAAAGGACTAAACAAAATCACACATGTAAGACACTTAGCACATTATTTGAACATAATATATGTTCTGTTGTTATTATTACTAACTGGTAAAAGAGGTAAGAATGGGTAATATCTAACTGCTACTGCACTTGACTTAGAGACTAATCAAAAAAAATCCAAACCCACCACTGTCCAGTTGGTTCTCTTACTGACCCTATAGGACAGAGTAGACCTGCTCCTTAGGCTTTCTGAGCCTGCAAATCTTTATGGAAGCAAACGGTCTCATCTTTTTCCTGAGAAGCAACTGGTGGATTTGAACTATCAACCTTGCTGTTAGGAACCCAGTGTTCAACCCGCTGTGCCACTAGAGCTCCTGACTTAGAGCTGAGCTAAGGAGAACTCTGAAGCCCCAAATAGAATAGTTAATGTAAATATGTATTGTTACTCAAACAATCCTTCGTGAATTAAACTGGAAATGATGAGACGAAATGAGCAACCTATAAAGCAAACAGAACAGCAAGCAAACTGCCAGCTCAAGGCCACAAAGTTGAAGCCTAACCACCAAGCTCCTTCCTCGCAATGCATCTGAAACAGCCCCTGAATCTGCTCTGTTTGCCACCATCCTTCTTGATTGAAAACTGACTATCTTTAGTCATCCTTGGTATTTGTCACTCTCAATTAATCAATTCAAGTTACCTAGTTAGCAAATTAGGTAAGAAACCTTCAGTTAAAGGTAAAAAAAGGAAAGAAAAAAATGCATGGAGAATTGTATGTCATTTTGTCTTATTCAGTCATGGAATGTAATTAGTAAATCACTGATCTGTATTAGAATTATTTCTAGACTGAATTCTGGGTTCCATGAAGGACCATCGTCAGGGCCAAAAGGTGGAAGGAAGTCCATGCAAATGGTGCAGTGGTACTTCTTTCTACAGTTTCCCTATTACTCCCCCAGACTCTAGGAGCTGAGGGAAGAACAGGAGAGCATCTCTGGTGCCATTCTGCCATTTATTCTTCAACAAATTTTTTTAGAGTGCTTATGAGCTGGGCTCTACTTGAAATTAAAAGTCTTTGTAATAGTGACTAAAGGCCATTGATTTAAAAACCAAGACCAATACAAATTTAGCTGTAAACACACACCTATATTAAATTCAATCAGCTAACACATCTGGTAAATATTTACTGAGTGCCTACTATGTGCCGAGTTCTCATGTACTTTTAAAAGATAATTCTGAGTCAGGATCTTGAAATACCAAATCCTCCCCCAACTACATTCTTAATATCAGTTTAGCTCTAGCCCACAAATAGTAAATTCAGTTTGTTTATTCAAAACAATTTTTGAGTATCCACTGTGCACCAGGCACTTTCACAGAAAGGTTAAGTGGGTAATGTCAATTTAAATAAAAGGTTTGCTCTACAAGAGAATCTAAACACATAAATGTATTTAGTTCTGGGTGTTTCTTATGTGTTAAGTGCATTGTAAGATGCTGCCCTCATAGACCTAACAAGTCTAATGGGGGAGACAGATGGTAATCAAATAATCCACAGGCATCACAAGTGTGATAGCATGTTGTGTGTTCATCTCCCCACCCCTTGTATTTTCAGCAAGGTGGAGGCTGCTTACCTCCGGGGACACATCAATGATTCTCAGGCAGCTCCTGCCCCGCTCTTGCCCGTCTATGAGCTGGATGGGGCTACCACGGCCGCCCAGGTGCTGATCATGGGCCCTGATGACTTCATTGTGGCCATGGTCAGGTATGCAGGCTCAGATTCAGAACCTGACATAGGGGCTCATTTGGACAGGAGGGAAGTGTGGGCTGGACTGGGGCTTAGGGCGGTCTCAGGACTCATCTGGCCTTACTTTGGCCCCCAGCTCCCTGAACCGGCCCTTTGGCAGTGGCCTCATCACTCCCTCCGGAATCCTGCTCAACAGTCAGATGCTGGACTTCTCTTGGCCCAATAGGACTGCAAACCACTCTGCACCCAGCCTGGTAAGGCCTGCCTCCCTCCTTCCCTGGACCTTGCAGGAGGTGTTTCCAATACAACCCCTTCCTTCCTAAGGCTATTTTAAAGCAAAGGAGCTCAAATTGACATCTCCAACACCACTAAATCTTGGGCTTGGAGTCTGGGCCAAGGAGCACTCTACTCAGTTTGTCACTGTCCCATTGTGTGACCTAGGAAAGCCTATGATGCTTTGGGCGATTTTTAGCATTAGTGGTCTCTGCTATGTGATGCCAAGCTGGTGGGGCTAAGCCCTATTGCTGGGCACTAAGTGTGAGCCAAAGGAGGAGAAAGATAAGGAATTCTTTATCTAGTTAGAAACCAGCACCCTTGCATCCTGTAAGCTGGGTCCCTAGGAGACAGAAATTATCAAGGTGAGGATAATTCTGTTCTAACCTAAAACCAGCTTGTCATCTCTTAGCCTGGTCGTCTCCTCCCCTGCCCTATGGCAGCCCCATAGCTCATTGAGCTTGTGTATCACTTACTTTTATACAGTCATCCAAGGGTTCTGCCCTTTTTTACATTCAGACACTCTGGCCTGGGAAGGGAGCAGTCTCCCATGAAAGCTTGACCTGTGGAAGATGCAGGGGAGGTCGGGAGGTGGGGAGGTTGGCAGGATAGCGATGTGGCTTTTTCCGTCTTGCCCCTCCCCACATTCCCCTGTGGTCTCTGTTTTCTGACAACAGGAAAATTCAGTACAGCCAGGGAAGCGGCCACTCTCTTTCCTGCTACCCACTGTGGTCCGACCAGCAGAGGGGCTCTGTGGGACCTACCTCGCCCTGGGGGCCAACGGGGCTGCCCGGGGCCTCAGCGGCCTGACCCAGGTGAGGTATCCTCCATCGTGGACCTTTTGCAGCCACAAGCCAGGCTGACGCTTGGGCTGAAGATAGCCCTCAGGTCTCTGGTTCATTTGTCTGATCCTTTACTCATGCAGTAATCATGGGTGAGGCTGTTGTGCCAGGACCATCCTGGGTCTGAGCTTCCCTGAGTTTTTCAGTTAAAATGTCGCCCTAAAGTTTCCCGGCTTTCCAGGTTATAGGGAAATCACACAGGGTCAGTAGAAATGAAAGGCAATATAGCATCTGAACTGTCTGAGTTCTGTCACCCTAATGTCCCACCATCCCTCTGTCCAGCTTCAGAATAATCAACCAGTCCTCTTTAGAGTCTGATTTTGGAAGGAAAGGCCTTCTACTTTCCCATATTCACAACAGTTCCTCAAGTATCCTAAGCACCTGATGCATGTGCCAGGTAGTGGATCAACTAGCCTGAGCTTTGAAATCAGAAAGCCCTGGATTCTAGTGTAAGCACTGCCAATTTCCTGCTGTGCGGTTTGGAGATTCATTTTACCTTTCTGAACCTCAGATTCCTCATCTACAAAATGGAGAATAACAACAATAGTTAACATTTATGGTGTTCTTTCTAAGTGTGGGGCACTGGGCTAAATTCCTCATGCATGCTATCCCCCCCGCCTTTTTTTAATGTTTTTATTGTGAATTAAGTGATAGTTACATGGGAGAGCATCAGCTTTACATTCATCCTATTGCATTTCGTTTCATTGCAATGATTACGATCCCTTCCATGCACCATGCATCATCATTCAACAGCATTTGCTTCCAATCCTTCTGTCGTCTTTTTTTTGGATGTACACCGAAGCAATAAGGAATATATAACCATTCAAACAACCAAGGGATTACCCTGCACGGAAAGCCCCCTGGCCGCCAGCACACAGCCCCTCTCCCTCTGCAAGTCTAGAGTCCCCATCTGCTCCGTCTCTCCATGTCATCATCTCTGTCTCCATCTCTGGCATTGCTGCTTCTCTGGATAGGGTCCTGCACTCCGTTCTTCTCCCTTGATGGTCCCATGGTCCTCTGCTCCTGGACTACAAGATCAACCGCTCCCCTCCTTTTGCTACAAAATGTCTATCTTTATATTTGCAACATTCACAATCAATCCTGATAGCAATTATTCACTATTGAACCACAAGAGTCTTATCCCCATCTCCTTTCACCAGTGCCGTCTAGACAGGTTGGAAACCACTCAGTGGAGATTTTACCTTCCCCTGCATCCTCTGAAACTAAGCTCCCTCTTGAAAACTTGTATGCCAGCCACTGCATGCCTTTGTAGGGCTCCCCTCCCCATTTTGGGTAGCCAATGTCTAAGTTGCTCATCTCTGTCAACCCTGTGTACAGAGGGGTGGAAAATGATCCTTGCTGTAAAGATTTGTTCCCTCTTTTAAGCTACTACATCCATAAGTATAGGTCAAGTTCATAAAATTTTAGTGGATTACACTTTTTTTTCCTCTTTCTTCCTCTAGTCGAGTTCTGATCATCCCGCCATTGAAGCTAGGTCAAATGGGTACTATCTGCAAGTATGGGTGTTCTTGTGCATCTCCCCTCACTTCATATCAGCTGGATGCTTCACTCTCTGCTGTAGTCCTCTGTGACTCACATGCTAACATGCTATCCCTTTTAATCTCCCCAACTCTGGGAGAAATCCTTGTTTCTGTTGTACAGATAGGAAACTGAGGCCCAGAGAAGTTAAGGAGTTAGGTCAAATTACTGCAGTTAGTAAGAGTGAGCAGGTGGTTTGCTTTCAGAGCCTAATCACACTCTTAACCACTAAAAGTATCCATATTATATCCCAGATCTCTCCTCCAGCTATTAACCATACCCTGGCCAGGGAAAAGGTAGGGGAGCCCTGGGTTGGATTAAAGGAGACTGGGTGCTAATTGTATCTCCCCCTTGGCTCCTTCTAAACCCTGGAGTGAGCCACTTTCCCTGTCTCCCCATTTTACAGATGGGGAGTCATTGCAGGGCTGCCATCTCCAAAGTTATTGAGAGGCTCAGTTGACATTCTTAATATAAGAGTTGTAAAGATTCTGGACCAGGGGTGAGACTCTGACCCACACCCCTGGGTCAGCCCTGACTTTTTTGCCCCTTGATCACCCACAGGTTCTGCTGAATGTCCTGACCTTGAACCGGAACCTGAGTGACAGCCTGGCCCATGGCCGCCTGCACCCGGACCTACAGTCCAACCTTCTGCAGGTGGACAGTGAGTGCAGAGTGGAGGTCCCATGGGATGGGCACGGGGGTGGGTGAGAATAAGGCTTCTATCATAGTATCACACCTCAATCAGCACCACCTCCCTGCCAGGGCAAGTTTGGTTTTCTTTCAACAAACTTCTACTGGAGAAATGAAAAAGCTGGTGATTGGAATAGTCCTCCCATTTTTTGACTGTGTGCCCTTGAGAAATTCACATCTCCACTCTGAGTCTCAACTTTCACCTCTGCAAAATAAGATACAGTTGTTCATTCTAACAACTTTTATTCATTCACCAGTTTGTGCTGAACGCCTACTGTATGCCAGACATTATCCTAGGTGTGAGGAGACTGCCTTCATAGGCAGATGAGAAAATAAAGAAGTAAATAGAGAACTGTAGGATGGCAGCATAAGTGCTCTGCAGAATGGTAAAGCAGGGTGATGTAACAGGACTTAGTGGATGACCAGGAAGGCTTCTCTTTAGTGACACTTAACTTGAGATCTGAAAAGAGAAAGAATTCATCATTTAAAAAACTAAGCTTTGTAGATTAAGGGAACACATGGAATGATCTCAGGGCAGGAACAGGCTTGGGTGTTTTGTTTGAGGAATAGAAAGGAGTGAGTGAGGGAAGATGAGATCAGAGAGGCAGGCAGGAGCCAGATCCTGAACCTTAAGGTCCTGGGAAGGAGATGGACTTAGTTTTTTTTAAGTGTGTGCACCTCTGTAGAGTTTTCATTGCAACAGACAATATAAATATACTATGCCAGTCCAAAAGGAACAACAGAATTGAAGGAGACACAGTCCTTGCCTGTTGGGTATTATCATCCCCATCTTACAGGGGAGGAAAAAAGAAAAAAAAGAGGCTCACAGAGGTTATAAACCAATCAAAGGTCAACCAGTAAGTGGCAGGATTGAGATGAGAACTCACACCTTGCTGATACCAAAGACTCAGTTCTATACCTCATAGCTTCTGCTGTCTCCCGAACTGGGGCCTCAGACCTAGCTCCTCAGCAGTCACCCCTGCTAGGTGGATGAGTGACTTTCTAGAGCCCAGTCAACAGATGATGATGCTAAGGACATGACACAGAATTTAGTTCAGTAATTATCTCTTGGTCTCTCCAGTATATGTCTCTTGAAATGTGAGGCTCTGTTCTATCTCTAAACCTTTATTTATGTAATGTGTCTTCTTTTTAACCAAATGAACTTCCTATTTAACCAAAATCTATTTTTTTTTTAAATTAAGCTTATATCATAAACACAAATGGAAAAAACAGTATTATTTGCCATGAACAATAGCTATGAAAATCAAGTATTATTAGGTTTTAGTTAGATATTGTTTCCTGTGGAAAGCTCTAAAGTCTGTTCTTTCTATAAAAGATTAGGAAATATTGAGACAAGACTGAGACTTTGTCCTTGTAACTGGAAAAGCTGAATGTGAACAACACAAAGGGAATACATTTTCAATTACTGATTTAATGTTATTTAATATTGACACTGTAGGATAAGTACCCAACCTCAAGGTCAATTTGAACTGCAACGTCAGTGGTTCAAATTCATCAGTCACGCCTCGGAAACTCTAGACAGGATCACTGAGTTGGAACCGACTCAATGGCACTTAACAACAACATTGTATCTTTATCTAAAAAAATACCTGAAATCACCCTGTTTGGGGAAATAAGATTTTTTTTTGTTGCGAAGCATTGGGAGATGAGTGTGAGAAGGTTACTGGGCCTCTCATGGAAATTCTTAACAACTGCTATATTGTCTTGTTTTCTCCAACTGAATAGGGGAGGAACGTGACCAGATTTGTTTTCTGTAGGAGGGATGTGTTGTAGGGAGAAAAACTTAGTTGGGGAAATGAGGAAAGATGGCTCAGGCAAGAGATGATAAGAACCTGTTTTTATGCAAAGAAATATGAATTGTTAATTTATCCAGTAAATATTTACTTAACATTACTATGATCCTGTTCTAGGCACTAGGGATCAGTAGTGACTAAGACAATATCTTTGCCTTTAAAAATCTTATATTCTAGTATGAGGAGACTAAGTACATAAATAAACAAATATAGGTGGTAATAAATGCTTTGTAATAAAACAAAGTAGGGCAAAGATAGCAGGGGTGCTATTTTTAGATAGTGGTCCGGGAAATTCTCTTTAAAGAGTACTTTTTGAGCAAAGACCCTAATGAAGCAAGGATGTGAGCTTTCTAACTATCTAGAAGGAGGACACTGCAGGTACAGAGAAAAGCAATTGGGAAGGCTCTGAGGTAGGAGCATGTTTGGCCCTTGCCAGAGAGAGTGGAATGAAACGAGGAGGGCTAGCAAGGGCTTAGATAACATTGGGCCTTAGAGGCCTTGGTAAGGACTTTGGGTTTTATTCTAAGAGTCATCAAAGCTGTTGGAGGGTTTGGAGTGGGGGAAAGGACATAGTCTGACTTATGTTTTAAAAAAACCTGGGCTGCTATGTGAGTCAGGACTGGAAGCAGGGAGAACAGTTCTTGGGCTATTGTAGTAGTTCTGACAAGCAATGGTGGCAGCTTGGCCTTGGCAGGTGGAGATGAGCCCAGAGACCATTTTCAATTTGAAGAGTGTGCCAGGCTCTGAGCTCAGTGCCTTTTGGACATTATTTCCTTTAATCTTTGCAACATTTTCATGTAGTAGATTCCCTTATTGTCTCTATTTTATACATAAGGAGACTGAGGCTCAGAGGTGTGAAGTGATTTGCCCAGGTCTGATCATACGTTTCCTGAGCCGGTGCTCTGAACACTCTGAATGTATGTTTATTGGGGGCTGATTTTCAGGTGAGTTCACAGAGGAAGATATTGAGTTCCTGGAAGCCAGGGGCCACCATGTGGAGAAGGTAGATGTCTTATCCTGGGTCCATGGCAGTCGGAGAACCAACAACTACATCATTGGTGTGAAGGACCCTCGGAGCCCAGATGCAGCTGGAGCCACTATGGTGTAGAGCAGTGGGCTGGGGCAGGGTCTCTGCTCCTCCCCCTTTGCATGTTCCCAGAGTCCCTCATCCTCCCAGATTTGGTCTCAGGGGGACCCCAGGGATGCCCCAGATCAGGGGCCAAAGGGGATGCTTAGCAAACCCTATCCCAGAATAACTGGGAAAATCTCCCAAGGCCTGTGGTGGTTGTGGTGGTGGGTGTCAGTGTCCACAACCAGGCAATCAGGACCTTGAGGAGTCAGACAGATGTCTGTGTCTTCTCCTCCCTCAGACACGCTGGCCCTGAGCTTAGGGATGTGCTTGCAAACCCTTCTTGAGGGTTCTCACAAAAAACCCCAACATCTCCAGCCTGGCCTGACCTGGGCCTTGTCTTCCAGCTCCTTTTCCCTGTCCCCAGCCTCATTTCTTAAATGACTAGGATTTTTTAATGGACCATCCTGGGGAGGGGGTGCTCTTCTCATCCTCCCACCAGGTTGAAGCAAGGGACCTTGCATCTGGGGGTCCCCAGGGTGTTGGGTGGGGGTGGGGACCAGCTCAGGGGCTTCCATTTGCAAAGAGGAATTAAAGAAAGAATATTGCTTAACCATGGCTCTGGCTTGATTTATGTTGGGCTGTTTGAGGAATGGGAGTTGGAAAATAGACCTGAGAACAACTTATTCCAGCAGCCCTGATTCCAGGGCAAGCTGAAGTCACCTACCTTTACAAGGTCCATAACGGTAACTGCTGTCTGTCTAGGATGACTCACACTAATGATAATAGAAGTAGATAGGTAAGTAGGTAGATGTTGTTAAGGCGATGGTGAGACTTCAACTCATAGTTCAGACATATTATCAGGAGGGACCAAGTCCCTAGAAGAAAACATCATGCTTGATAAATTGAAGGGTCAGAGAAAAAGAGGTAGATCCCCAAAGAGATGGATTTGCACAGTGGCAGACACTTTGAAAGAGGTCTTGTGCAGCAGATTTGCCTAATGTAATACGTCATTTGATGTCTTGACTGCTGCTTCCATGAGTGTTGATAGAGGATCCAAGCAAAATGAAGCCTTGACAACATTTTTTTCTGCATTTATCATGATGTTCTTTATTAGTTCAGTAGTGAGGATTTTTGTTTTCTTTACATTGAGGTACAGCCCATACTCAAGATGGTGCTCTTTGACCTTCGTCTAGTTGGTTCCGACTCATAGTGATCCTACGCATAACAGAATGAAACAGCCCCGTCATGTGCCATCCTCATTAACTGTTATGTTTGAGCCCACTGTTGCTGCCACCGTGACACTCCATCTCTGAGAGTCTTCCTCTTTTTCGCTGATCCTCCACTTTACCAAGCATGATGCCCTTCTCTAGGGATTAGCCCTTCCTGACAAGATAATCAAAGTCCAAGAGACAAATCTTGCCATCCTTCTAAGGAGCATTCATTCTGACTACTTCCAAGACAGATTTGTTTGTTCTGTAGGCAGTCCATGGTACTTTCAATATTCTCCAACACCACAATTCAAATGCATCAATTTTTCTATAGGTGTCCTCATTCATTGTCCAACTTTTGCATGCATATGAGACAACTGAAAATACCATGGCTTGGGTCAAAGCCTCAAAGTGAGGCTTCCCTTTAGTCCTCAAAGTGAAATCTTTGCTCTTTAACATTTTAAAGAGGTCTTTTGCAGCAGATTTGCCCAATGCAATACTTTGATTTCTTGACTGCTGCTTCCATGAGTGTTGATTGTGAATCCAAGTAAAATGAAATTCTTAACAACTTCTGTATTTTCTCATGTTGTTGTATTTCAGTCCAGTTGTAAGGATTTTCATTTTCTTTACATTGAGGTACAGTCCATACCAAAGGCTGTAGTCTTTAATCATCAGTATTTGAAGCCTTTGCTTCCAGCAAGCAAGGATGTATCATCTGTATATCACAGGTTAATGAGTTTTCCTCCAATCCTGATGTTACGTTCTTCTTCATATAATCTACCTTCTCAGATTATTTGCTTAGCATGTTGTTGTTGGTGGTGCTGTTGAGTCTGTTCCTACCCATAGCAACTTTATGCACAAAAGAACGAAATATTGCCTGGTCCTGCACCATCCTCACAATCAGTATTACGTTTGAGCCCACTGTTGCTGTCACTGTGCAAATCCATCTCTTTGGGGTCTACCTCTTTTTCACTGACACTCCAATTTACCACGCATGATGTCCTTCTCTAGGGACTGGTCCCTCCTGATATTATGTCCAAAGTATGAGAGATGAAGTCTGGCCATCCTGCCTTCTAAGGAGCATTCTTCCAAAATAGATTTATTTGTTTTCCTGGCAATCCATGGTACTTTCAATATTATTCTTCAACACCATAACTCAAATATATTCATTCTACGGTCTTCCTTATTTCACATGCATATGAACTATTGGAAATATTATGGCTTGAATAAGGTGTACCTTAGTCTTCGAGCTGACATCTTTGAAGAGGTCTTGTGCAGCAGATTTGCCTAACAAATTACATCGCTTGATTTCTTGACTGCTGCTTCCATGAGTGTTTGATAGAGGATCCAAGCAAAATGAAGTCTTTTTCTATTTATCATGGGTATTTATTGATCCAATGATGGAACGCAAGACTTTTAGAGTCAACCCATATTCTGGACATACTTTTTGACCTTTATCAATAAGTATTTTAAGTCCTCTTCACTTTCAGCAAGTAAAGTTATATTATCTGCATGACAATGGCTGTTAACGAATAGTCCTCCAGTCCTAATGCCATGCTCTTCTCACAATCCAGCCTCTCAGATTATTTGCTTAGCATACAGATTGAGTAAGTATGGTGAAAGAATATAACCCTGGTGCACACCTTTCCTGATTTTAAACCATTCAGTGCTCCCTTGTTTTGGTCACATAACTGCCTCTTAGTCTATGTACAAGGTCCTCATGAGTACATTGTTAAGTGTTTTGGAATGCCTGCTCTTCATAATGTTACCCATAGCTTGTCATGATCCACATAGTCAGTAAAGCACAGGTAAACATCTTTTTGTTATTCTCTGCTTTTAGCCAAGATCCATCTGATATCCAAACAGTGATATCGCTTATTCCATGTCCTTGTCTAAATCCACCTTGGGCCTCTAGGGGTTCCCTGTTGATGTACAGTTCTAGCCACCTTTTTTTTTTTTTTTTTCCCCACACACAGTTATGGGGTTTATTAGGGACGTTAATAGCTTACAATGCAGGGTCAGAGAATGCTCAGGTCACACTTCTTCCAGTGAAGATTAACCTTTCTGCTGCTGTGCCTATAGGCAGACCTTTCTCTGGACCTTCGCTCCTTAGCCTGGCTTCTACCCTACAAAGCTCTTTTAGGGATGCTGATAAATGCCCAGAGAACATACACTCCACCATCAATTTCATTTTGAAGGCATTCAACCCTAGTCCATGGGTGAGCCAATTTGTTCCCCCCCACCCCATTCAATGCCTGGAGGCACTCTATTCTGCAAGCAAGCCTCCTCCCCTGCTCACTCAGTTTTACTTGTTCCATGGGATCTGAAGCCCACTGCTTTGTAACAGGGCCTGGCTCGTGATTCTGCTATAAAAGCTCCTCTGCCACTCCTCCTAATCAGTTGACCAGGTAGCTGTCTTCCACATTTCTTGGACTAGATAAATGAGTGCATCTACTGCTGCATCAGTTGAAAGATTTCAATTTGATATTGAGCGTTTCCACTATTTCTTATCACAAATATAGTCAATTTGATTTGTGTATATTACATCTCATGAGGTCTACATGTTTTTTAAAAAACGTATTTGCAATGATTAAGTCATTGGTCTTGAAAAATTCTATCATGTGATTCCCAGCATCATTTCTATCACCAAGGCCATATTTTCCAAATACTGGTCTTTCCTTTGTTTGTAACTTTCACATTCCAATCACCAGTAATTTTCAATACATCTTAATTGCATGTTTGATCAATTTAAAACTAAAGAAGTTGGTAGAATTCTTCAGTTTCATCACTGGCTTTAGAGGTAGGTGTGCAAATGTTGAATAATAGTACTAACTTATCTTCCTTGTAGGTGTATGGATATTATCCTATTACAGACAGTGTTGTACTTCAAGATACATCTTGAAATGTTCTTTTTGATGATGAATGCTATGCCATTACTCTTGAATTTGTCAATCCTGGCATAGTAAACCATATGATTGATTGTCAGAGTCAAAATGGCCAGTAGCAGTCCATTTCAGCTCATTAATGTCTAGGATATCAATGTTTATGCATTCCATTTCATTTTTGACAACTTCCAATTTTCCTAGACTCATACTTCATACATTCCAACTTCTGATTATTAATGAATGTTTACAATGGCTTCTCCTCATTTTGAGTTGTGTGCCATCAGCAAATGAAGGTCTTGAAAGCCTTACTCAATTCACATCATCATATTCAACTCTACTTTGAGGAGGCAGCTCTTCCCCAGTAGCATTTGAGTGCCTTCCAACCTGAGGGGCTCATCTTCAGCACTGTATCTGACAATATTCTGATTCTATTCATAATGTTTTCATTTTCTGGTACTACATTTGACAATGTTCTGCTGCTGTTCATATGCTCAGCATACAGACTAAATATAGTGAAAGGATAAAACCCTGGCACATACCTTTCTTAATTTTAAACCATTCAGTATCCCTTTGTTTTGTGCTTTTTGGTCTGCACAGGTTTCTCACGAGCACAATTATGTGTTCTGGAGTACCCACTCTTTGCAATGATAGCCATAGTTTGTCATGATCCACAGTCAAAAGCCTTTTCAGAGTCAATACAGCACAAGTAAACATGTTTCTGGTAATCTCTGATTTCAGCCAAGATTCATCTGATGTCAGCAATAGTATCCCTAGCTCCATGACCTCTTCTGAATTTGGCTTGCATTTCTGGCAGATCCCTGTCAGTGTGCTGTTGCAACCACTTAAAAATTATCTTCAGCAAAATTTTACTTGCATGTGATATTAATAATAATGTTCAAAGCTTTCCATATTCCAACTCTTCTGTTCTTCGATCATTAGTGTC